CATGATTTTGTCACTGAACTTGTTGCAAAGATGACTTGTTTCAGCTTGCTCAGGGTGGTACTTCTCCACAAACATTTGGATATCGTTCCACATGGTGCAAACCTCCTTAATCTTTGAAGAAGGCACCTCATCCACTCCCTCTTCCTCCTCTGAAGCAAATTCCTGAGCTGTGGTCTGATACTGTTCCAGATGAAGCTCTTGCAGCTCTTCAGTGGTTAGCTCTTCCCTGTAGTCCTCCACCACATCCTCACCACTCACTTCCAGCCCCAGGATGTTCCCCAATGCCACAGTAGAGTCAACAACAGGCAGAGGGTCAGCTGGGTCAGGGTCAGCCTCAAACCCTTGAAAATCCCTCTCTTGGACACAATCTGGCCACAATTGTCTCCAAGCAGAGTTCAAAGTCCTGGAAGTCACTCCCTCCCAAGCCTTACCTATAAGGCTTATGGAGCTGTAGATATTGAAGTGATTCCTCCAGAACTCTCTTAAGGTCAACTTAGCGTCTGTGGTCACTTAAAAACACTTTTCAAACACTGCTTTTGTGTAGAGTTTTTTGAAGTTAGAAATGACCTGCTGGTCCATGGGCTGGAGGAGAGGAGAGGAATGGTGTTAGGAGGCAAGAACTTCACTGTTATAAAACCGAAGTCCCTAGACAAGAGGTCTACTAAGTTTAAAACCTTAGTGTAAAGCACCCTTCTGGCAAGACAGTGATGGAGTGAATGATGGTGAAAGTTTTTCTTTTTCGGGCCACCCTGCCTTGGTGGGAATCGGCCAGTGTGATAATAATAATAATAATAATATAATAATAATAATAATAATAATAAAAAAGACACATAACTTGTTCTTTATGACATTGTTTTTCTTAAACACACTGTGATTTTCTGAATGATACACAAGTAAAGGCTTCACTTTAAAATCACCACTAGTGTTAGCACAGAACAAAAGAGTTAGCCTGTCAAGAACCTTAAACACCTGTACAAACTTCTCAGCCGCCCATTTGTCTGAACTGGCTGCCTCACCATGCCTTACAACATTGTGTATGCCACTACGCTTCTTAAATCTGTCAAACCAACCTTTGCTGGCCTTAAATTCACTATCAGTACTGGTTCCAGTAGTTTTTTGTACCAGATCGGCATGCAACTTCCTTGCCTTGTCACAAATAATCATCTCTGAAACACTATCACCTGCCATCTCTTTATCTTTGATCCACACCAGCAACAACTTCTCAACCTGATCGATTGTCTGTGGTCTTTTTTTGGTTAGCATCTTAACACCTTTCACAACATCAGCTTCCTTGATTTGTTCTTTCTTTGCCAGGATAGAAATGATGGTCGACTTGTTTTTCCCATACTTCCTGGGAAGCTCAGCAAGTTTCACACCACTCTCATACTAATTCTGTATTATTTCCTTCTTCACATCTATGGTGTTTCTCACTTTCTTTACCACAGGGGTACCGCTAGCAAGTTTCTTTGGGCCCATGGTAGCTTATTTCACAGTCCCACAAGCACTAAACACAATGAATTAATTGTAAAATGTTTGAATGAGAGCACAGGTTAGTGTTTACTCAAGCATCAACAAAGCCAGACTGGTTCACGGCGCCTACACAGGGACTCGGACAGAGTGGGCTGGCGGACAGGTCCGGTACCTGGCAGTTCGAAAATAGGGGCGAGTTCGATAATAGGGACAAAGTTGGTTAGAAAAAAGCGGTCGTTTTTTTGAAGAGTTCGATAAATGATGCATTCGAAATTTGAGGTTCCACTGTATATACGAAGTATTTATAGGTCCCAGCAATGTTTTGGATACATGGGAGTATAGAAGAAGAAGGAAAAAGGAAGAAGTTCCCCTGAAGCAATGCATAAGATAAGTGTCAGTGACAAGCATCGGAGTGCAGTGATAAGACGAGATAAGCATGACATTTGATGGGCGCCAGCGAGAGGGCAGAGATAAGATGAGATAGTGCAGAGATAAGATGAGATAAGTGATGACATTTGATTGGCACCAGCGAGGGTGCAGAGATAAGGGGTGACATTTGATGAGCTGGTTTCTGTCACTGATTATCTGTCTCTCTGTCTTGTCTCTCTGTCTGCTTGTCTCTCTCTCTGTCTCAGAGAGAGCCACTGTGAACCAACAGGTATTCTTATGCATTATATCTACAAGCACAGTATAGCACTTTGGATTTTTTAGGTTATCCTAGGTAATTTACACTATGTATAATTGTATTTGTATGTACCTGTGAGACAGATAAAAAGAGACAGAGACAGATAGACAGAGATAGACAGACAGACAGATACAGACAGAGAGAGAGACAGACCCTAAACTTGCAGTTAACATCACTTTCCTCTTAAAAGAGGAGTGTTAATATGACATTACATCAGTGAATCCTTGGTGTTTGCCGCACTGTTTGCTCTAGCTGGCACTCAATTTAACTGGCGCTCCCACGAGGTACTAAGTGGTCCCAGATTTTTTTAATATGGTGTACACCGAGTGTTAAGACCCATTCTGTGCTGACCAGGCATCTCAGGTCAATCATGCCAAATTTGGAGGCAGGAAAAAATAAAACATATATATACCTGGGAGACCTGGGAGTGATTATGTCGGAGGATCTCGCCTTCAAGGACCATAACATTGTATAAATCGCATCTGCTAGAAAAATGACAGGATGGATAATGAGAACCTTCAAAATTAGGAATGCCAAGCCCATGATGATACTCTTCAGGTCGCTTGTTCTATCTAGGCTGGAATATTGCTGCACACTAACAGCACCTTTCAAGGCAGGTGAAATTGCTGACCTAGAAAATGTACAGAGAACCTTCACGGTGTGTATAACGGAGATAAAACACCTCAATTACTGGGAGCGCTTGAAGTTCCTGAACCTGTACTCCCTGGAACGCAGGCGGGAGAGATACATGATTATATACACCTGGAAAATCTTAGAGTGACTAGTACCAAACTTGCACACGAAAATTACTCACAACGAAAGCAAAAGACTAGGCAGACGGTGCAACATCCCCCCCAATGAAAAGCAAGGGTGTCACTAGCACGTTAAGAGACAATACAATAAGTGTCAGGGGCCCGAGACTGTTCAACTGCCTCCCAGCATACATAAGGGGGATTACCAATAGACCCCTGACTGTCTTCCAGCAGGCACTGAACAAGCACCTAAAGTCGGTACCTGGCCAGCCGGGCTGTGGCTCGTATGTTGGATTGCGTGCAGCTAGCAGTAACAGCCTGGTTGATCAGGCTCTGATCCACCATGAGGCCAGGTCACAGACCGGACTATGGGGGCATTGACCCCCCAGAACTCTCTCCAGGTAAACTCCAGGTAATACGTTTGGGGTGCTAGCGGTAAGAACGTATATATATGTTTGGACCGTTTAGGGGTTAATATTATGTTGGATATTTCTAAGTTAAGTTTTGACTTTGGTTGTTCATATTTAAAAGATATAGTAATGTTTATTGTATTCCTGTGTGATACCTTGGGGAGCCCACCTGGAATGTGCCACACCTGTTCTCGTCCTAATGCCTATCTCTCCTATCCCTGGTATACTCTTTAATTAAACATTGTGCCCAGTTCAACCTCCTTCACCTATAGTCACACATTGTTGCCCTAATATTGTGATGCACAAGTGCCAGCTTGAGCATGTGCCCAGCTCGACTGCCACCCCCTAGTATACATGTCCTACTTTTCTCTCCCTCAGGAAAATTTTTCTATCCTTTTCGTATATAAGAAGGTGCCTGTGTACCTCACTCAAGAGTAGAACAGTGATGGGTATAAATATACTAAAGGGCTCTCACTGAAACTGAAGCACTTATTTATAAAATACCGTTTTATAAATTTTATGCATATAGGAAATTTTTCATACTTTCACCAAAATTATACCTTTCTAAAAATATTATTATGTATATTATAATTAGTACTCCCTGTGTGTATTATCTAGATTATTTAAAACTGTTAATTTTTTAATCTCTTACCAAGTGATTTATTCAAATATTTTATTCCAAAGACTTAATGTATTACATTTTATAGCTGTTTACATTTGTAACGAAACCCATTTATTTATTTATTTATTTATTTAGAAATTTTAGCATACATACAGGGGTACAAAAAAAATACAGGTAAGAGCAGCATGCCAAAGCCACTTATATGCATAGCATTACGGGCTGGCTTAAAATTAACTTAAGATTAACTAAGCAATGATGAAATCAGTGATAAGACATTATTGTAAACAGATAACTATAAAGCACAAATGAGTATTACAAAGACAGGTCATATGGTTGCATGCATTGCTGTTCATTCAGTAGAATGGAGTATTCTGTTAGGTAGTGTATTTAAAAAATAACAAAGTTAGATTGGGTCCTAGGTTTAACATTTATGTGATATAATTGTGAGTAACATTTTGGATATACAATTTATAAGGTTCATTTATTCAGTATTTATTTGGTTTTGAGTGAGTAAGTGAACTTTGAGAAGAGACTTAAATTTATAAACAGGTGGTGTTTCTTTTATATTTACAGGTAATGAATTCCAGATTTTAGGGCCTTTTATGTGCATTGAGTTTTTGCATAGCGTGAGATGGACACGAGGAACATCAAAGAGTGATCTGTGCCTTGTGTTATGGTCATGTGTTCTGTTGAGGTTGGCAAGGAGATGTTTGAGGGGAGGGTTAATATCAGAGTTAAGTGTTCTATGTATGTAATAGGTGCAATAATAAGTATGGATGTTTTGTATGGTGAGTAGGTTGAATGTTTTGAATATTGGTGGAGTGTGTTGCCTGTAGTGAGAATTTGTTATCATTCTAACTGCAGCCTTTTGTTGGGTAATTAGTGGTCTGAGATGGTTAATTGTTGTTGAGCCCCATGCATGAACGGTCATTAAATACAGTAACTACTGCATATAAAACCATAAATATAACTTTTTTTACATAGAGGATGTAACTAATTCAGGGGCAGTAATTACAGTTGCTCATGCATCTTTCTTTTAACTAAGGAGGTAATATTTACAGGGAATTTTAATCAGTGAAGCAATGTGTGTTTGTAAAAAATGTATAACACCGAAGTCACCTCGCACACATCATTGCTTGGTGTGTAACTGCTGCATTCTCAAGATGGATCATCACTGCTGTATCCTTTTCAAGCCACACCATTTGATGTGGGTGTTTTAATTTAGTGTGCTAGTATAATATTTTTTGTATCCATATAATAAATGTTGCTTCATATTTGGTCTCATTTTTGTGTTTCAGAGGCCATAGCTCTTTAATTATTGCACTAATGTCTCAAATATTATTCATAAGAAAGAATGTACGTATACAAATGAAATGAAATTTGAGTGTGGGCCTCTTACAAGAAAATGTACTTAACTAAATGCTATATTGTGGCTGTGTTCTGTTTATTAATCACTGTTTAATACTATTAGTAAGTGAAAAATGAACAATACCACCTCTAAAATATTAAGTAGATATTGTCAGTAAAAAATAGGCAAAATTAAATACAGAATATTATGGCTGGGGAATTCATCCCATTGTAAGATGGGTGTTTGCATGAAAATAGATTCTGAGTTCTGAACAACTGACTAAGAACAATTTTCAGGAATGAATTAGCATTATAAGATGGCGCCCTACAGTACCGTACATTTTTTTTTAACACGCTTTCCATCTCCCACTGAGGCAGGGTGACCCAAAAAAGAAAGAAAGAAATACTTTCACCATCTTTCACACATAAATCACTCTCTGCAGAGGCGCTCACATACGACAGTTCAGGTGTCACGCCAAATAGCAAATATCCCAAACCCCTCCTTTAGAGTACAGGCACTGTACTTCCCACATCAGGATTCAAGGCCGGCTCACCAGTTTTCCTGAATCCCTCCACAAAATATTACCCTGCTCACATTCCAACAACTCATCAAGTCCCAAAATCCATGTCTCCACTCACTCCTATCTAACATACTCACAAATGCCTGCTGTATGTCCAAGCATATTCTGTGTATATTCTGTATATATTCTGCATATATTTTCTTAGTACTCTACTGTTAATTAAATAGTAATCTTTTCTCTGCATTGTAGAAATAAATTTAATAAAATTCCTTAAATAAAAACCCAGCTTGGCTCAACAATGGTGTGGGGCACTTTAACCACCGTTATTTCTATATGTATATGGTATATATGACATTGGGGATAATTTTCATCATAACGCTTGGTTTTTAAATAGCATACAGTGAGATATGGCTAGGTGGAGAAATGGGTGTAGGATTAAGTGATGCCCTGGATTTGGTGATGAATGACAGTACCCCCCAGGAACAGGATGAGTTAGAAGGCTACCCAGTAAGGATCAACGGCACTCACATGATGCCTGTGGTGAGTTGTATTTTTTTATAATGCAGTACAGTACAGCCTCTCCTCACTTAATGACAGAGTTCCGTTCCTAAGACCATGTCAGTAAACGAATTTATTTCTAAGCAAGGAGCATACTATAATGGTAGTGGGTTTGTATCAACCTTCTTTGATATTGTTTTAATATCACCTCTGCACCATTTATAACTTTTTTAGTATATTTTTAAATGATTGTACAGTAGTGTACTGTATATTATAATAAACAGATTACAGGAAATCAATTCTAATATACTTTATTTAGGTATGCATACTGGTCAGAGAGCCCATTGTAAGTCTGAGTCATCAGTAAATGAGCATGTCACTAAGTGAGGAGAGCTTGTATATTATACTTAGGTTTGGATTTACCCCTTTCAGGCTCCAGAGGCCAAATCTCAAAGGGTACACCAGGTTCCAAGAATTTTTGAAAAAACAAAAAAAAATAATTTTTTTTCTTACAGAATTAAAGATAATAATTTTCTGTTGGTAATAAAACAATTTTTTTTTGCAATCAGTAGTTACTGAGATATATAGGCATGAAGTTGACCCTCAGTGATCTGGTGGCGGCAACATCTGGGACTCTTGTCAAGTCTCATTATTTTTTTTTAGGTTTTTGTTACTTTTTTCATTTCTGATATTTTTTCCAGTAACTTTTGTGGCCTGAGACAAATTTTTTTTTTTTCAACAGACTGACTGTATCCCACCAAGGCAGGGTGGCCCGAAAAGAAAAACAAAAGTTTGTCTTTTTAAATTTAGTAATTTATACAGGAGAAGGGGTCACTAGCCCCTTGCTCCTGGCATTTTAGTCGCCTCTTACAACACACATCGCTTACCCATGGAGATAAGAGGAAATAAACAAGAACAAGAACTAGAAAGAAAATAGAAGAAAACCCAGAGAGGTGTGTATATATATATATATATATATATATATATGCTTGTGCATGTATGTGTAGTGTGACCTAAGTGTAAGTAGAAGTAGCAAGACGTACCTGAAATCTTGCATGTTTATGGGAGCAAAAAAAAAAAGACACCAGCAATCCTACCATCATGCAAAACAATTACAGGTTTCTGTTTTTGTTATATCTTGGAGATTGGTCATCCTGTGATATTTAACTATTGTAAGAGAATATGATCATCACTTAATATTATAGCGCGAAAGTCCCCGTTTATAGCTAAAATAGAGACTTTCAGCGTTATATTATGATCTGTTAATATATAAAAAATACCATGGTATTATCACTATTATTATTATTATTATTGTTAGGTAGGATTTCTTATGTATATATAGCATACAAGTCTCGGAACCATCAGGTAAATTGTTCAATTGTTTATGTCCGGCTGACTGAAGTTTGGGTCAGGTGATCCAACCTGATGACGGGTCAACAGACTGGCAGGTAGTCAGTCCGCTCCCTGTTCTAGCCTTGACAACTGATCGTATATTGGCTCTCTCTTAGGTGTATACAGTTTGAATGGGTTTGAGAATTAGGCTCTAGAGCTGACTCATTTTGTTCCTCATTGCTCTGAAGATTGTTTTGATATTTATATTCTTGGTCAGTTCAATAATCCATAGAGATACGTCTTCTCAGACAAACTCTTGCTTTCTACTTCCTTTACGGCCGGATCCAAAGATCTTGTTGAATCTTGTACATTTTGTAGTTTGAGTCCCCTCAAGGAAGGTTCCTTTATGTTGGTGAGGGGCTCTTGATTTAGGAAATTGGATCTGTGCTCCAGTTCCCCGAATTAAGCCTGAATGCCTTCCACATCCTCCCCAGGCACTGTATAATCCTCCGGGTTTAGCGCTTCCCCCTTGATTATAATAATAATGTAGTTTGAGTTTACACAGTCTTGTTAAGACAAAGACGTAAATGTTAGTGAAGACTTAATTACAGGAAGAAAAATTAATCTTCCTTATTAATGTGATATTTCCATGATTTTGAACTAAATATATATATATATATTGTAAATTTATTGTACAAAGTATTAAGATATAATATTAGGTACAGAGAGAGAAGATAAAGTATTGTATTTAAATACTTTAATAAATTTGAATATTATTCTATGGAGTTTCCCAGTTGAAATTATTTCCCCTAGACTCTAAAATACCTTTAACTAACTCTGATCCAAAATCTTGTTGCCTATGAAGAAAATAGTAAGAGACCACATTCTGAAGTTCTTTATAAAATTTCTTATTCGCAACAGTTTTACACCCACTTGGCAGGACGGTAGTACCTTCCTGGGTGGTTGCTGTCTACCAACCTACTACCTACAAAATAAAATGTATAATGTATAAATGTACACTCATTGTATTCAACACAGTAACTGCACTAATTTGTTTATCATTATATTGCTTACAAAACTTGTTTATTGTAAACAAAACAATGCTAAATATTAGTGCAGTTGTTTTGAATACAACGGTATCATGTAGTACCATATGGTACCATAGGGTGCAATGATACCATATGGTACAATGTACCATATGCTACAGTGGTACCATATGGTACAGAGGTACCATATGGTGCAGTGGTACCATATGGTGCAGTGGTACCATATGGTGCAGTGGTACCATATGGTACAATGATACATGGTACAATGTACCATATGGTACCATTGTAAACATGTTACCTTTGTTTCACCTGGAGTTTACCTGGATGGGAGTTCTGGGGGGTCAACGCCCCACGGCCCGGTCTGTGACCTGGCCTCTGGTGGATCAGAGCATGATCAACCAGGTTGTTACTGCTGGGCTGCACGAAAACCACGTCGAGCCACAGCACGCTGATCAGGAAACGACTTTAGGATGCTTTGTCCGCTTGAAGACTGCCAGGGTCTGTTGGTATCCCCCTTTGTAAGCTGGGAGGCAGTGGAACAGTCTCGGGCCGCCTGACACTTATTGTATGGTCTCTTACGTGCTAGTGACACCTGCATTTTATTGGGGGGATGTGTGCATTCGTCTTGCCAAAGTCTTTTGCTGACATGTGAGTGATTTTCGTGTGCAACGTTCGGTACTAGCTCCTTAGGATTTTCAGGTGTATATATCATGTATCTCTTACCTGCTTCGGGAATACAGGCTTCAGTAACCTCAAGCGCTCCAGTACAATGAGTGTGTTTTATACTCGTTATGCGCCGCCGTGAAGGTTCTCTTTACTTTTCTAGTGTCACCAAATTCACTGCCCTTGAATAGGTGCTGTTAAGTGTGCAGCAATTATTCCCAGCCTGATAGATCAGTGACCTGTATGAGTGACTCATCCTGGGGCTTGGATCCTCGTTTTGATAGGTTCTCAATATTAATCCTGTCATTTTTTTAGCAGACTGCGATTGATTGACAATGTTAGGTCCTTGAAGGGTGTGAGATCCTCTCGACATGATCACTCCCAGGGCTTTGACGTTGGTGTTTCGCCTATTTTTGTGGCCAGAATTTGTTTGTACTCTGATGAAGATTTATTTTATCGTGTTTACTCATATTGAGTAATGTAATTTCTCATCTTGAACTTATATTGTTTTCTGCAGCCCACTGAAAGATTTGGTTTGATGTCCGCAATGAGCCTTGTGCAGTGTCTGACTAATGGAAGACACTCATGCAGTTTGGGTGTTCATCTGCAAAGGAAGAACAGTGCTGTGGCTGATCATCATTATCTATGTCAGATATGAGGATGAGGAACATGATGGAGCGAGTATCTGTGCCTTGTGGACTAGTGCTTTCACAGCTGCCTGCCTCGCACTTATACTCTGTGACTACTATCTCTGTGTTTTGTTAGTGAAATCGAGGAAATTATAGTCCATCGACAAACTTTTCCTGTTTTTCCTTTAGCACGCCCATTTTGTGCGGCTATTATACCATGGTCACACTTGTCGAAGGATTTTGCAAAGTCTGTATATATTACATTCTGCATTCTTTTTGTTTTCAGTTGCATCTAGGAGGACTTGTGTATGTGAATCAATAGTCTGAGACCAGACAGGAGCGACCTGTTCTAAACATGATGACTGGGTTGTGTAATTGATGGGTTCCTAAATGGGTGGTGGATCTTGCTTCGTAGATCTACTTTCAAAGATTTTATGATATGGATGTTAGTGCTATTCGCGGTCTGTAGTTCTTGCTGTTTGCTTTACTGCCCCTTTGTGTGAGTGGGCTTATTTTGTCTGTTGTTTTTTAGTACTGTGGGACGACCCGTGTCCATGTCCATCTATAGGATGGTAAAGGCTCGTGCATTGGGGCTTCTTGCAGTTTCTTGATGAAACACGGATGTTCATGGAGTTGGCCCTGGGGCAGAGTGCATGGGCATGTCATTTATTCGCCTGTTTGAAGTTACACTTGGCGTCCAGGATAACTCAGATAGGCTATGTTGGTTTAACCAATATTTGCTGGTCTCTCTCATAAAAATATAATTTTGATCTTCGTATTCAGTCTGGTTAGTGGCTTGCTAAAAACTGAGTCTTTGGGAACTTGAGTAGCTCACTCATTTCCTTGCTGTGTCATATGTGTAGGACCCATTTGTTTTTTAAGTAAGGGCCCAATGAATGGGAACTTGTTTCTGACTTTGATTTGGCATAGGAGAAAAAATACTTTGGGTTTCTTTCGATTTCTTTTATTGCTTTTAGTTCTTCCAGCGTTTCCCTGACCCCTATAAGATTCCTTTAGCTTAAGTTCGATGTTTGCTATTTCTCTGACCGTGTCTCCCTTTTGCATTTCAGATAGATTGACCTCTTTTAGCCGCTCTGTTATTCTTTTCCGTGCCTGTAAAGAGAGCACCTGTCTCTTTCTATTTTACATCTACTCTCCTTTTCTTAGAGGAATAAGTCTTGTGCATACATCGAGTGCCCCAAGTTAATCTGTTTGGCTAATTTTGGGGTCTGTGTTGCTTAGTATATCTTCCCAGCTTATATCGGTTAGGACTTGGTTTACTTGGTCCCACTTTATGTTTTTGTTATTGAAGTTGAATTGGTGAATGCTCCCTTGTGACTAATCTCAT